GAAGATGTTGAGTCGAGCAGAGAGTGGAGAGATTCCCAAGACTCTTACTCAAATGTACACACACTTCCTGACGGCACAGATTAACATCAAAAACATGAAGTACAATGAGAAGGACACTGACAAAAAGATGATTTTCAAACTAGGTAAACTGGCATACAAAGAACTGGAAAAAGGCAATGTGATCTTCTATGAGGAAGACCTGAGAGAGTGTGGCATTGATGTGACAGAAGCATCAGTGTACTCAGGATTGTGCACTCAGATCTTCAGAGAGGAGTTTGGCTTGTATCAGGGGAAAGTCTTCTGCTTTGTTCATTTGAGCATTCAGGAACATCTAGCTGCTCTATATGTGCACCTCTCCTGTACAAACCACAACAGAAATGTGTTTGACAAAATCACCAAACGAAGTTTGTTGTCTAAAATGAAGAACTGGTTTCAACTAAATTCATCAGAACATGTTTCATTATCTGAGTTGCATCAGAGAGCTGTGGATAAGACACTACAGAGTAAAACTGGTCATCTGGACTTTTTCCTGCGGTTTCTTCTGGGTCTGTCAGTGGAGTCTCATCAACATCTCCTACAAGGACTAATAAAACAGACAAGAATCAGCTCTGACAGCAATGAGGAAACAGTTGAGTACATCAAGAAGAAGATCAGGAGCAATCGATCTCCAGAAAAATTTATGAATCTGTTCCACTGTCTGAATGAACTGGGTGATCATTCACTAGTGGAGGAAATACAACACTATCTGAGATCTGGAACAATAAAGGAAGTCAAACTTTCTTCATCTCAGTGGTCAGCTGTAGCTTTTGTGTTGTTGACATCAGAGAAGGAGCTTGATGTGTTTGATCTCAAGACATTTGTTGTAGGAAGCAATAAAGCAGAAAACATGAAAGTTTTTCAGAAGCTGCTGCCTGTGATTAAAGAATCCAGATCAGTTCAGTAAGTATCACTGAGAACAATCACTTCACCTTTAAAACTTTAAGAAAATCAAAGTTAAAAGCTTATAAATCTTCAGATGCTATTTTGTCAGTATTTTTATGTGTTTTTGAAACCATTCTATCTGCAGATTAGTTTTAAACAAGTTTAAAGTTACAAATGAATTAATACATAAATATTTATTCAATTCAAATTGAAACATCGATAATAAATTAAGAAATACATCAGTGTCTGTTTTTTTTTTTCCTTACAGAATGAATTAATTACATTGGAATTGAAAGTTATTGTTTATTGCAGCAAGTTATTTTATTGCTTTTGTTTTCAGTTCATAGTGTTTACAAGTATGATTTTCATTTCTCTGCAGCATAAGTGATTGTGGTCTCACAGATGAAGGTTGCGCTGATCTGGCTTCAGCTCTGAGATCGAACACTTCACACCTAAGAGAATTGAATCTGTCTTGGAATAAACTAGGAAGTTCTGGTGTGGCACTTCTCTGTTCTGTACTCAAGAATCCTCAGTGTAAACTGGAGAAACTGTGGTAAGATCATATTTGACTCTGACACATAAAACACAATGTAAAGTATATTTGAAGTATTCAGCCTCTTTCTGCTGCTGTGAGTTCAGCTGATTGAGCTGTAAATGACTGAACACATGAACTGCTCCTCAGTAACATGATACTGCAGGACTGAACTTCACACTGAAATACACACTTTCACACATAATCAACATTTAAATCTCTTGACTTCAAACAGAATCAAGCTCAACTCAGTCAGAACTGAGAACGTCTCGGTTATGTATGGTAACCCTCGTTCCCTGATCGAGGGAACTGAGATGTTGTGTCAAAGTTCCAACATTAGGGGTCGGCATCCGGGATCCCAGACACCTGGGATCATGCATTTCACCTGGGACGGGACATCTGGGAAAGTTACCATATACCATATAATCTCAGCCAGAAACCTTTTCTTCTGCTTAAAAATACTAATAAAAATTCAGCGGCTGGTGAACCTGGTTGTTGGGAAGTGTTCACTTACTCAAGTGAGAAAAGAACACTACGGACACCACATCTTACCCGATGGGAGGTGACATGTGGAGATGCATCCAATGGACTTGCTAAAGGAAGTACTATATAGGGAAGGTTCTGTGGTGGACTCCACATAAGGGGAGAACAGTCAAACACAGCACCTGGTGACAGCAGCACTCTGTCCAGGGAAAACACTCCTTAATAGTCCTTAATAGGAACTTTGCAGTGGAAGATACACATATGGGACCACCATAGGGAGTCACAACATATGGAGCACTATTCCAATAGAAGAGTTCAGTTGAGGGATACTTACAAATAGTTCCTCCGCAAAACTCAGCTGTGTGAGAGTGCTTGACTGATGAAGAGGGTAGTACAGGGTTCATAAGAAGGAACTGAAACTGGACTCAAAAGCACACATTATCACCTCAGAGAGGGGAAAGGCACTATATGCAAGCTCTATTCCTTACCAGGCATCTGAATTTGTGTTAGTACCCAGAACTCTGGATTAAACTGGTTCCATTCACAGATTATAGGATCTGGCAAATGTATTAGGTGTAGCCCAGCTTGCAGCTCTACAAATGTCTGCTAATGAGGCACCATTTGCCAAAGCTGACGAAGCAGCAACACCCCTGGTCAAGTGAGTTCTCACTTCCAAGGGGCATGGTAAGCCTCTGGCCTGATAAGCCATGAGAATCACATCCACAATCTATTGAGAGATTCTCTGTTTGGAGACAGCCTTCCCCTTCTGCTGTCCTCCAAAGCTGACAAAGAGCTGTTCAAAAGGATCTGAAACACTGTGTGTGCGCTCCAAATAGATATGCAGGGCTTGCACCAGGCACGACAGAGGCAGGTCTGGGTCTCTTTTGTCAGGAGGGATAGCTTGCAGGGCCACCACTTGGTCTCTAAAGGGAGTAGTGGGAACCTTGGGCACATATCCAGGTCAGGGTCTCCGAACAACATTAGAGTCTGCCGGGCTGAATTCTAAGCATGTTTTATTGACCGAGAGGGATTACAGACCCCACCCTCTTGATAGAGCACAGTCAGGTATACCGTCTTCACAGAGAGGACACTAAGCTCAACTGACTGAAGAGGCTTGAACAGATCTATTTGTAAGGCCTGAAGGACCACTGAAGGATCTCAAGAGGGGATAAGGCGCGGTCTCAGAGGATTCAACCTCCATGCACCTCTCAGAAATCTGGTAACCAGATCATGCTTCATCTCCGATCTGTCACCCACAGTGCGTGGTTCGCTGCTATAGCGGCCAAGTACACCTTGAGTGTAGAAGCAGACAAGTGCCTGTCCAGTCCCTCTTGGAGGAAGGATAGCACCGATCCAATACCACATCACTGCGGGTTCTCCCCCCGAGAAGAACACCATTCTTGTGAGGCAAACTGATCTATCAGATCTATCTAGAGCGTGGCTGAGTGTTGCGCTCGGACCCCATGAACCATTCATCCAGCCGAGAGCGCTCTGTGCAGGGTGGGGGAGTCTACTCGAGCCCAATGCTCTGAGCTGCACAGGTGAGCACAGGGGCGTAGCCATCATTTCAGAAGTGAGGGGGACAGAAATG